TTTTCTCACCAGAATCATAAATCATGTTTTCTCGCCAAAGTATAAAATAAAATTTTCTCACCAAAATCATAAATCATATTTTCTTGCCAAAAACTGCAAAATTATGTTTTCTCATCAAAATCATAAAATTATGTTTTCCCATCTAAATCCTATTATCTTATTTTCCTACCAAAACTATAAAATTATGTTTTCTGATAAAGTTCCAAAATTATATTTTATGACAAAATTATAAAATCGAGTTTTCCCACCAAAATCGTAAAATATTGTTCTCTTGCCCAAACCGAAAAATTGAGTCTTCCTCCCAAAACCAAAAAAAAATCATATTTTCTCGCTGAACTTTCAAAAAATCATGTTACATGCCAAAATCGCAAAACTTATTTTCCCACCAAAATGTGTTAGCCAAAAAGTTAAAAAATATTTTTTCAAAAGTAATAAATTTTTACTTAACAATTTAAATAATAGAACTATTATTCATGGTTTAACCATGAAAACCATTAACTCATTAACTTAAATGAGTTATGAATTTATCCAATCAATTTGTCAAATGGGTTGGATTAATCGATAATAATCCATATAAAATTAAATCCATTTGGATATGGGCTCTTTCCTATATCCAAAATCAAATGAAAGAAATATCTATTTATAATATATAATTTATGAAGTCTGTAAGAAAAACATAAATAATTATAAATAATCAACGTCAAATAAGGGTGGAATAAAAATCAAAAATCTCAAACCTCCAATATAAAATAGACACCTAACTTTATGGGATCCATTTTTTTTTTGTTTGCCTTCAACATGTTGAATACAATCATACATTGTTTAATTTTCTTAACACCATTATTGTAGATATCAAACAGTTGAATAAGATATTCCACATGGCCATTGCAGATAGTCTAAGGGAAAATAACGAAGCATTGAAAAGATGATATGGGAAATAAAATATTTGTTTGAAAATTAAAAAGGAAACGAATCTGTATATGAAACTTGACTTTTGTATTCATACTTTGTATTTAGATGCATATAGTGTATATACTGTTACGGAAAGAAATCCACTGAGAAAGGTAAGAGCAAGTCCATCCAAGAGAACCCCTATGGGGTTTTATAATTAAATTAATTGTTAATATGATGATTTGATTAGCTAAGAACCTTTGTTATGGTTAATTAATTTGTGCTCCTCCAATGGGAGAACCTCTATGGGGTTCTTTAAATTTTTTTTTTTTTTTAAAGTAGATTGATTTAAAATAAAAACATACATAAAACCAAAACAACAATCTTTAAGAACATAACCTAAAGTCAAGCTAAGAGCATCTCCAAAAGAAACTCTATAACTTCAAATATGAAGTTTTTATCTCTCCAAAAAGGAACTCTAAAACTTCAAATTTGAAGTTTTGCGTAGTGAAACTTCAAANTTTTTTTTTTTTTTAAAGTAGATTGATTTAAAATAAAAACATACATAAAACCAAAACAACAATCTTTAAGAACATAACCTAAAGTCAAGCTAAGAGCATCTCCAAAAGAAACTCTATAACTTCAAATATGAAGTTTTTATCTCTCCAAAAAGGAACTCTAAAACTTCAAATTTGAAGTTTTGCGTAGTGAAACTTCAAATATAGAGTGTCACTATTCAAAACTTCAAATTTGAAGTTTCATATTTTATTTGCATTTTGGTCCTTACAATTTCACATCATATTTATAATAATTTTCAGTATTTTATTTTTATCATGCTAATTCTTAAAAATTCTTATTTCATAAATAATTCAAAATTATTTTTCTAAATTTAAATTTTATATATATATATATATATATTATATTTTTTTTTTTTTTAAAATATCAAGATAATCTTTAAAATATTTTTAAAACTAGAATTAGACAACAACAATCTTACATGCTATAATATGGTATTTTGTTTGTACTTTAATAGTTAATTATATATTTCTATTTAGAGTTTTATATTTTAGTGTAACATTTTATAAAAAAAATATTTTTATAATATTTTAATACATGATAGTTATTTATAAAAGTTTTGTGAATTTGAATTAGTTATGACAAATATAAGGACCATTATATAAAATACAAATAGTTTTAAATTTAGGTTTGAAGTTTTGCTTTTGGAGTATAACACTTTCAAACTTCAAATATAGAGTTTTGCAAACTCTATAATAGAGAGTCTTTTTGGAGATGCTCTAAAGAACATAACCTCAGACGGTGCACCTCTCCACACACAGATCGAAGTTTCAGATTATCTAGCCTGGAAGGACACAAGGAAGATAATTATCCGGCCTATCTGATAACTGGAGATTCATAAAAAAAAAAAAAGATCAAAGAGAGATTCTAGGCAGTGACTCTGTATACGAATAATGAATTCTCTTCTTACTTTCTATTAACGCTTAACAACAAATATCTCCAATGAGAATGATAAAGAGCAATGATTTTTCATAAGAATATAAACGACGAGACTTTATAGACTAAAACAAGGAGGTTTAACACAAAGAGACATACCGAGCAAAGAATCCATGGTTCCGTTTGCGCCTGATAGTACTAGGCTGGAATGTCCTCTTGGGAAATAGAAGCAATGGCTCACTTGAAGGATCGACTACATCACCAAGTTCAAATAAATTAGGCAGGCACCGTAGAAAAGCAAATTGAGTGACGTTGCAGGCACTAAAGCTCAATAAGATAGAAATTCTCTAGATTCTGGATACATAAATATTTTAGCACTATATAAAATTCTACACAACATAGCCAGATTCTTCACCCTAATACAAACACTTTATAACTCGCCATGATCCCGTATCAAAACCCAAAAACACCACACCATAAAAAAAGAATATAACCAAATAAAATGTTCTATTAACGTGTAAGCACATGTGCTCCCTTAAAGATCAAATCTTTAGACATTCTAAGAAACCGAACACTGATCACCACCTGAACTAATATTCAATCATCATGATAACCCAATAATCATTTTCATACAGCCCAGTCAGATTTAGACCAAAGTACCAATCTGAGGTAATGACATAAACACTCAAATGGGGGAGGTAAGAGAGCTACAAGTACCTTCTGGTAAGAAGAACTCGAGTGAAGGAAGACCCATTAAACCCATTAACTNGAACACTGATCACCACCTGAACTAATATTCAATCATCATGATAACCCAATAATCATTTTCATACAGCCCAGTCAGATTTAGACCAAAGTACCAATCTGAGGTAATGACATAAACACTCAAATGGGGGAGGTAAGAGAGCTACAAGTACCTTCTGGTAAGAAGAACTCGAGTGAAGGAAGACCCATTAAACCCATTAACTTCTCCTTGCTTGTTAAGTGACGGAGGGACGAACTCTTTAGCCATGCATGCGAGGCTTAGATAAAAGCTCCTGGAGCTCTCTCATGTCACGCTTGAAGCTCTCTCCACCGTCAGATCTCTCCACGTGGGATCCGATCTCCGTTGGATTGACAGATACGACGATGAAGAGAGGAAGAGCGACGGATCTACGACAGAGAGGAAGAGCGACGACGAGAGGAAGAGCGACGACGGAGAGACAGAATCGACGGAGAGGAAGAGCAACGGAGAGGAAGAGTGACGACGGAGAGACAGAATCGACATCATCTCCGTTGGAGATTTCAACGGATCAACGACCAAGAGGAAGAGCGATAGAGAGAAAGAAGAACAATTTGAAATCGGTGAGAGAGAACCAACTAACAAAGGGAGAGACATGTTTTTTTTTCAAGCCAATAGGCTTCTGCCACGTCAGGGGTTTTAACCACTTCTTCTTCTCTTCCTGAAGTAGCGGTTCTCTCTAATTATTGTGTTTTTCATTTATTTTTTCTCCTTATTTCGGGTAGAACCTCCCTTACCATCCCCCGATGGACCTGGTCTTACATTCTGTTGACCAGAAAAAAAAAAAGAAGAGATAATGAATATCAATAAAGTTATTGCATGGAGGAAAAAAGGCTAATTTTATTTTTTTGGATAAAATGGTAATCAGATTTTTGCATGCATGCCAAGGTCGTGTATATAATGCATGCTATGCCCAACAACTTAAGAATATAAACATATACTATTTTACCAAAAAAAAAAACTTAAGAATATACTGAGTTCATATTTACATAACATAACGTGAGTACGCATGTGTCTGTAAATGTCTATGGATTTTTTTTTGGGTGAAATCCATGTCTGTACATGTCTATGGTTGTTGTTTTGTTTGTTTCTTTTTAACGCTGCTTGTGATTTCTCATATATATTTTGTATTTATTGCGTATATATATATATATATATTCATGTGTATAGCTTGTAAATATGTAATATAGTTGTTTAGAATGTTATCTTGTTTACAGATTTGAAGCGTCTAGATATTTTGTTCAAAGACATATAGGTGTAAATCGTTCGTATATAAGGAGTAAGTTCAACTTCAATATCACTTAACAGAATTGTCGTTTAAGATTAGTTTTCTAACAACTAAATGAATAGGTTGGTTGAACAAAATTGAATATTATATGTTTCCAGGTGATTTGAGATTTTGGAGATTTAAAGTATTTTTAAATTCAATCATTTGTTCATGAGACTGCACGACAAATGATTTTTAGATGTAAAATTTTTAAATTCTTTTAAAATCTAAATTTAAATTATTTACTGACAACATCTATTTAAAAGACGAATTATAAATATCATATCCAATAACACTAGATTTTTAATAAATCATCATTACGGTGAATTTTACTTTAGATTTAATTTATATATATATATATATATATATATATATATATATATATATATATATATATATATATATATATATGATTGAATAGCATCCCCTTAATTAAAGCTGCAATAAGTTTTAGCCATGATAATAGTTTAATTAAAAGTTAAAGCGTGCCAAAGAACGTTGACCTCCCTGAGAGACCATATAGTAACTACACTTATAAAATCCTGATTGACTATGTTTTATATATGGAGATCGCAGGTTTCCTTATTACTATAATCACAACAAAAAGCAATGTCTCTCGTGGATCAAATGCTCGGCGAAGGGGCAGGTGACATCATAATCATCTATTCATAATGTTCTTGATTAAAATATCTCTTTTTTCTCTTCTACTTACTAGGACTTAATTAGAATATGAATCAACATGTCCGGTTTCACATATATTAGAATATGATTAAGACGTGACATAGATTTAAGGGGAGACACGATTTGAATTAAACATAGGGAATTTTGTTGCAGTGGCGGATTTATGTGTGTGGAAAAACAAGGTAATATCAGGCATCACATTTGTAATCGCCACACGTATCTGGTACCAGTTCGAGATCTTGGAGACTCCACTTGTACCCTTTCTATGTTCGATCTTTTTACTCCTGATGCTCCTTCTCTTCCTTTGGGCCAAGTTTGGACAACTCCTTGGCACTTGGTACTTATCACTTATACACTCTCTCGTCTTTTTTTAAAAACATAGGTGATCCGGATCTGGCCCATATAAGAACAAATAGTACTATAAGCTTATTTATATATGCTATGATATCTCAAACAGGAGACCTCCAACTCCTGAAGAAATCAAACAAGAAGATTCCCTAGTTAGAGCCTTATTTTCAAAGATAGAAGGTCTTCTCTTGATGCTGTACGAGATTGCCTATGGGAAAGACATCAAAACCTTTATCTGCGTAAATCTTTGCTACCACTGAAAAATATCTATTTTCTAGTTTCCATACAAGAATCCATTGTTCATTTATAAACTTCCAATGTATGGCAGACAATCTTTTTTGTGGCCATCATATACACCATTGGGAGCTACATCAACTTCCTCACAATTTTGTATATATGTAAGCGCATCTCTCTATTACCTTACAACCTGTCATATCGTTCTCTTTTATTTTCCTAATATTGTTTCGATACACACACCTTCCAGGCTTGGTATGTAAAGGAATCAAAGGATCGTATGTGACACAGAGTTATAAAAACAGTAGCTTCGTTTTTATATCTTTCTTAACTTCTTTCTTGAGATCAACTTACATTCTAGATCTCCTTATATAATAAATAGGAGTACTTATCTTTTCCTATTACATATTAGACTAGGAAACTTGGCTTTATCCTAATCTTTATTTGTTATTCTACTTATCTTAATGAATAACTTGTTTCCTAAGTAACCTTAATTGAAGCTTATCCAACATACTCCCCTTTAAGCTTCAAACTCTCTTCACTCAAGTCTTGTACATGAATCCGTTCTCTCATCTCCTTGAACTTGAGTCTTGCTAAAGCTTTAGTTAGGATGTCTGCATTTTGCTCTGTTCCGGGTACATACTCAATCTCGATCTCATCTTGCTCCACTCGTTCTCTAATGAAATGAAACCTCTTATGGATGTGCTTGCTTCGACGGTGGAAGACAGGGTTCTTTGCAAGTGCTATGGCTGATTTGTTGTCAACACGAATCAGAGTCTTCTTTATAGTTTTCCCTGTAATCTCACTAATCAAATCTTGCAACCAGATGGCCTGCTTGGCGGCTTCAGTTGCAGCCATGAATTCTGCTTCACAGGAGGACAGGGCTACTGTATCTTGCTTCTGCGAACACCAGGTAATTGGTGTTTGTCCGAGACAAAACAGATGTCCTGTCGTGCTTCTGCCGTCTTCTGGATCAGAGTTATGACTGCTATCACTATATCCGATAAGCTCCTTAGATCCTCCTTGCTTGAAAGACAATCCATACCCAACTGTTCCTTTCAAGTACCTTAAGATCTGTTTTAGTGCATTGCCGTGTGATATCCTTGGAGAGTGCATGTATCGACTTAAAATGCCAACAGAGAAGGCCATATCAGGTCTTGTATGCATAAGATATCTGAGACAACCAATTCTTCTTCTATAGATCGTTGCATCAATCTCTGGCTCTGTTAATGCTTTGGAGAATTGTAGACCAAACTCCATTGGTATATACGTTGAGTTACATTCCTCCATTGCTGCTTCCTTTAGTATGCGTTGAGCATAAGCCTTTTGATCTATCATAATACAACTTGAATGTTGTCTTACTTCTAACCCAAGATAGTAGGTTAATAAGCCTAAATCAGACATCTCAAAGTTGCTTGACATATCCTTCTTGAAGTCTTTAATCTCTTTAACACTGCTTCCTGTAATAAAAAGATCATCCACGTATATAGCAACAATTAGTAACTCTCCTCCAATATCCCTTCTATACACAGAGCTCTCTTTTGAACATTTTTTGAACCCAAGACGCCTGAGAATTTGATCGAGCTTAGTGTTCCAAGCCCTTGGAGCTTGTCTCAGTCCGTACAACGCCTTGGATAATTTGAAAACCTTATGCTCATCTCCCTTCTTTTCAAACCCTTCAGGTTGCGAGACGTACACAACTTCATTCAACTCGCCATGTAGAAAAGCTGTTTTGACGTCAAGATGGTGAATCTGCCACTTATTTGCTGCAGCCAAACCAATAAGTAGTCTTATTGTTTCTAGCCTTGCTACTGGAGCAAATACCTCATCAAAGTCAATACCGTGTTCTTGTACATAGCCTTTTGCAACAAGGCGAGCTTTGAATTTGTTGATTGAACCATCTGCATTCCTTTTTACTTTAAAAACCCACTTGAGACCGATGACTTTAACTCCTACTGGCTTGTCAACCAGAGTCCAAGTGTGGTTTTTATTGATGCTATCTATTTCGTCCTCACATGCATCTATCCACTGTTTACTCTCCTTTGCTTCATGAAAGTTTGCAGGCTCATCATTAAGAGAAAGTAGTAACAACTCACATTCCATCTCTGCAAGCAATATGTAGTCATCAAGGTAGCTAGGTTTGCTAGTCTGACGAGTTGATCTTCTTGTTTCTTGAGTTGCAAGTTCTGCAGTGCTTTCTTCGGCCTGTGTAGAGTCAGAAACAGGTTCCAGAGGTTCTGTTTCTTCTGCATTATTTTCTTCTTGGTGAGCACCTATCACGGATGGTCCACTTCCTTCGTCTATTATAGTTCCCCAAGTCATGTGAAAGTTTCCAGAGTTCTCTTCACTTTGATCATCTCCCTTCCAATTCCAAGCTACTTTTTCATCAAAGATTACATCACGACTTACAACAATCCTTTTTGAATTGGGACTGTAAAGTCGATAAGCCTTTGAACCAGGCTCTATCCCAAGATGAACAAGAGCTTGTGAGCGATCATCAAGCTTTTTCAAATGGACAGAGTCAACCTTTGCGTGTGCAACACAGCCAAAGACCCTAATGTGTCCTATGCTTGGTTTTCTTTTCTTCAAGCTCTCGTATGGTGTCTTAGAGTTCAAAGCTCTAGTAGGAATCCTGTTGATGACGTACGTAGCATGACGAACCGCTTCTCCCCACATGAAATTTGGAACTTTTGTTGCTTTCAACATGCTTCTAGTCATCTCCATAAGCGTTCTGTTTCTCCTTTCTACCACTCCATTCTGTTGTGGAGAATAAGGAGCTGTTAAATGCCGTTTAATACCATTCTTGTTGCAGAAATCTTGAAAATCTCTTGATGTGAATTCTCCTCCTCTGTCTGTGCGAAGTGTTCCTATCAACTTGTTTACTTCCTTCTCGATAAGTGTTTTAAAAGACTTAAATCTCTCAAACGCTTCGCTCTTTTCTTTCAACAGAATGGTCCACATATACCTTGTACAATCATCGATTATAACAAAGATATACCGATTCTGTGCTGGAGTAGATGGTGTAATTGGTCCACATAGATCTGCATGAAGTAATTCTAATGCAGTTGATGATCTATATGGTGTTGCATCCGGGAAACTATGGCGAGTCTGTTTTCCTACTAAACATGAGTCACACAGCTGTCTTTCTTCTTGTATGTCAGGTAGACCATGAACCATCTGTTTTGTTGCCATTGATTTTATTGTTTTGAAGCTTATGTGACCGAGGCGGGCATGCCATCTCCATGAATCTTCTTTTATCTTTGTGAGAAGACATACTGGCGTACCAACCTTGAGCAACATTTTATAAAGACGGTTAGGAGATCTAAGGACTTTAGCTAATAACCTTCCACTTGGATCTCTTAAGGTTAAAAGATTATCCTTCATTCTAACATCACAGCCCTGTTCTGTTGCTTGTCCTAAGCTGAGGATGTTACTTCTCAACTCTGGTATGTAGTAAATATCGGTGAGAAGTCTCTGCTCCCCTGTTTTAGCTTCAAATAGAATAGAGCCTTTTCCATTTATCTCAACACATGATCCATCTCCGAATTTTACTCTCCCTTTTATATTGTGATTCAACTCTGAAAAGTATGATCTCTCACCAGTCATGTGGTTACTAGCCCCATTGTCTAAGTACCACACACCATCTTCTTTCTTGCTAGGGTCCAGTGTCTTCGGCATTACTTTCTTTTCGTTCAAAAATACGACCTCATGCATATAGAGTGCAACATCCGCATCTTCTGTCTCTGTTTTATTAAGTTCTTGGTTTTCTTCTTTTAAATCAGGACAGACTGATTTAAAGTGGCCCTTTTTCTTGCAGTGAAAGCAAGTAATCTGTGAGTAGTCTCTCTTCCCTTTGTTCCACTCGCCAGAGCTACTTCTTCCACGTCCTCTTCCTCTTCCTCTTCCTCCGTGATCCCTTCCACGTCCACGATTCCATCCTCCACCTCTGCTTCTGTTGCCATGATCAGCATAAAGAAGATTTCCAGTTTCTTCAGCTTTCTGTTCTCCTCGCAAGCTTTCTTCTCCTCTCAGACGTTCTTCAAACGCCTTAAGTCTACCTACTATATCCTCGTATTTAGTATCGTTTAGATCGAGTACTTGTTCAAGGGTAGCTGATAGTTGAAGAAACTTGCTTGGCAAGCAGGAGAGGAACTTTTTAACTAACTTCGGTTCTTCTATTGTTTTACCCAAAGATGCAGCTTTAGCTGCAAATTCAGATATCTTTCCAGAGAATATGTCAATAGATTCAGTGTCCTTCATTCTTAAACGATCAAACTCGATGTTTAAAGTGTGCAGACGAGCTTCTATGACGCGATCAGCACCAAGGTTTAATAACTTCAATGCTTCCCACATGTCTTTAGGAGAGTCTTGATCTCCAATTTGTAGGATTAGATTTTCTGGAATTCCTTGGAATAAAAGAACAGTTGCTAGATCGTTTTTCTTTTGATCCTTTGATCCAGGATCGATAGATTCCCATACTTCATGAACTCTCAATAGTACTTTCATCCTCATTGACCAAACTGCGTAATTAGTTGACGTGAGCATCGGAGGTACGATTGCAGAGGGCACTGATCTTAACTTCAACAGCGACTTTGAATCTGAATCATCCATGGTTTTTCTCTTGTTCTTGAATAACCTAAAGCTCTGATACCAAATAGAGGAATCAAAGGATCGTATGTGACACAGAGTTATAAAAACAGTAGCTTCGTTTTTATATCTTTCTTAACTTCTTTCTTGAGATCAACTTACATTCTAGATCTCCTTATATAATAAATAGGAGTACTTATCTTTTTCTATTACATATTAGACTAGGAAACTTGGCTTTATCCTAATCTTTATTTGTTATTCTACTTATCTTAATGAATAACTTGTTTCCTAAGTAACCTTAATTGAAGCTTATCCAACAGTATGCTCGATGACGATTCCAGTTTTGTACCTACAGTTTCAAGAGCCTATTGACAATATAATTAAGGAGGTATCAGAAGTGATGAGCCAGATAATTGAAATATTCGCATCTAGGTTCAAGGAGGAGTAGTACTAGGTCGTGTGATTTTGCCTTATACTAAAGCAAACTATATATGCATTATTATCATTGTATTGAGCTTATTTGATTTAAAAGGGATACTTGACATATTATATCTTTTAGTATTTACAAATCCGTCGATGATCATAAAAGGCCAATTAAATCTGAAACTTGCAATGACAATATTAAGGAAACGATCTGGATAATGAACAATCTCATGCGAATGTAAAATCTTTAATAAACAAATTAAGAACGAAGATTAATTCTTTGCCGAACCTCTGATCACGAATGTATGTGGAAAATCCACACAATAACAAAAGCTCTGATCTATCTTGTTCTGAAGCACATAAACATTGCTACCATGCAGTAAAGAGGAGAAACAGTAACATATTTAAAATAAAATAAAATAACAAGAAAGTCGAGAGAGGGATAAAATAAATCATGATTTATATTTGGGATTGGATTCTTTTATAAACCTATTTCGGTTTGTGGATTTTTTTTTCTCAGAGAGACCAGATGGTCAAACAAACCAGTATGCTAGTGTCTGATGGACGACATTCATATAATGATATGGTTCTGCAAAGAAGATCGACAAAGAGGTAAAAAGAATCTTGATTTTGTCTATGTGTTTTGGCTTCGTTTAGAAATCTAGTTCAGTTTGTGGTTTACTTTGCTCAGAGAAACCAAGGGTCAAACCAGTGTCTAATATATGACATGGATATGGCTCTGCAAAGAAGATCGTCAGACAAGTAAAAGCTCACAAGGCATGGTATCATACCAGAGACAGACGGTGGCATTTAACCATTTTAACATCCCTAAATATACCCATTGATTTAAATGATACTTACACCATTTAATATAACAATGGTAGTCCAAGTCATTGTGAGTTTACCGGAATGAAAACAGAGCTTATATCCTTTTGATTATAGTTTATCTTATTTGATTTAGAAGAACTTTTTGGATGTACCAATAGAAAACTCTGAAACAATTGCATGATAAAATTAAGAAAACAACACTAAATAAGAAAGTACAATGCTCTAATAAACCAATGGAATAAGTTTACTTGTATGCAGATCCTCTCAAGAATGCGTATGTAAGTTAATTCACAATGGGAAGTCTTTTTTTTAACACATCACAATGGGAAGTCTAAACACTGAAAATAAGGAATAAATATAGAGTATCTAGGACCACGAAAAGCAGAACCAAAACCTAGGCTTTGGCCAGTAGGATGAGGAAGCAAATGTACGAGGTTGGAGGAATGTAACCATGAGACAAGAACCTTCTTATTGTCCTTGCACTACAAGAATCAAGCGTGAACTCCGACGGTCATATTCATCCGAAGTTTGTCGGTAACGGATATTTTTGACAACTTCCCGACGACCAAACATTAGTCGGCGTTTGGGTCTCGGAAACTCCATTTGTCGGAAGTTAAACGGTAATTTCCGATCAATAATAGCGTCGGAAATAGTTGTCGGAAAGTTATTGGACCATTCCAATGCAATTCCGAGAAATATACCTCGACAAACTTCCGACAACTTATAATTTTTAATTAAAAAAAAACAAAAAAAAAAACAAAACTCGATTAGAATTAAAATTACCGAATATTCATTACATATAAAGAAATTAAATACAAAGCTTCTATAAAACAATAAAACAAAAATAAAAGTATTAGAAAAACAAAAATATTAGAGTGCTACTGTGCCGGTGTAGAGGCGACGGCTCAGGCGTAGAGTGCGACGGTGCAGATTGCGACGGTTCCGGCTCGAGTGCGACTGAGGCGGTGTAGGGTGCACGGTGCCAATGTAATTGGCGATGGTACCGATGTAAGGTATGAAGCTGGCCGTGATCGTGGAGGCGGAGTGAGCGGTGGAAGGAGATGCATTGTGGCGGTGCAAGGAGTCCAACTTCAAGCGGGGTGGTTTAAGGAGCTTTGGTTTGGAAAATCATACACAGATCTGAAAGAAACAAAAGAAAGAGACAGTCTAAGCAGAAAAGAGAATGAACAAGAATGATGACAATCGAAGCAAGGAAGAGAAGAAAATGACAGAGAATAAAATAGAAGGTAGATCTTGGAAAAAAAAGAAGAAGATAGATCTTGGATGTGCAGATCTGGAGAAGAAGAAGGGACTAGAAGAAGGGTAAATATAGATAAATAATAAATCCCTTAAACAAAAAATTGAAGTAAAATATAGATAGGGAAAGAAGAAAGCAATTAAAATAAACACACTTGGTGGATATGGAAATCGTGGACCACAAATATCAGGTTTAAGTAACTTTTTTTTTTTCTTTATGCAATGTACTGCTTCTTTTCTTGTACTGGACAGCTTCCGACGAACATTATCCAGAAATTCAACCGAAAAAGATCTTACAGTGATAGAAAAAAAAATCTTACAGTGACAATGATAATTTACTTTAATACTGTCAACTTTCTGATGCTATTCCAACCAGATACCGAGAATGATCATATGTCGGTACAGCCCGAGATTGTTCCGACAAGGCTACCTAGAAATTTCCGATAATACAATTTTGTCAGAATTTTTTATTGTTTCTGAGAAATTTCCGACAAACATACCGAGAATTTTCCGGGAATCTCTTTTCGTCGGAAGTTTTCTACAAGTTTCCGATGAACTAAAAAATTTCTCACTATTTCCTCGCTGAGTCATCGGAGATTTTCCGAGAACTAGGTGTATCGGAACTTTTTGTCGGAGTTCATTACTTTTTCTTGTAGTGTTGGAAGTCGCCTTAAGTGTGATGAACGGCAAAAATGTTGACATATCCGGAAACCAAGGAGATATCAACTTAGGGTCTATGAAGAACATCTTCTCCGATTCCCACTCGGAATCCAATATGTTTTTGATCCTCCAAAAGTGTTGCATACCATCACCATCTGCCAAGTCATTTGTAACCCAGATACGGTCACTTAGAGTACACATAGTAACTGTAGACAAAGAGGCTGCCTCGGAAACAGTCTTATTGGTAAAGACTCTAAACATCTCAGTGTGAATATTATAACCAAGAATCTTATACTCGTAAGTCCGATTTTCAATGATCCAGTAAAGCCATCCTTTTGCAAATATTGGTTCCTCGTTTGCATGTACATCACAAGGAGTATTCATAACGTACCTCCATTTCTTGACTTCAAAATCGAAAACTTCGCATGATAAGGTGTAGTTTCTTTCGTTGTTATGCAGCCAGACTAGTTTGTATGTTCCCGTAACGTCATCTTTTCCAAATCCTGGGAAATGTACATCTATATTTTCGCTATTCTTCTTGTCTTCTAAGCACTGTAGCTGAAATTCGGAAAGAGGGAGGGTTTGAGAACGTACCATGGCTGGGTTGGCCACAACTATTGGACTTGTAAGGCTGCGATCGTCGAAAATGCAGACAAGACCGTCGCAACTACCAGAAACTCTTGGCATTTGATCGATTTGTGGTTTAATGTGATAGACTGGGCCTTCTTCGACTAGACAAGACGTCGAAGACCAGTCCAACCTCATCGTCGTTAGAGTAAGGTCTAAGGAAGCTTCATGGAGACAGAGAAACTTGGGTTCTTGGGTGGTTTTCTGATGCAACATGTGTCTATCCTTGAAATATTTAGAATTTATCATACGCCTCCAGTGTTTAGACACGACCTGAAATCGAGTTAGGGCTTTCACCGGAAGCCTCAACATAATTTCTTCTAACAAATCGTCGTTTAGACGTGATACATCATCATCTCTTCTTCTCTTCTTCCTCCAACCTCGTAACGCTGCATCTTCTATTCTCATGTTACAATAACAACCTTCACAACATGTATCCTCATCTTCTCCACTCTTTTTACTACAATATCTTTCAGACCATGTATCATAATCTTCGCTTCTCTTCTTCCTAAAACTCTGAAACACCATCGCACTTCTTCTCCTTCCCCTCTCTCTCTCTTTGTGTTTCTGATCTATAAACTACTCTGTGTCTTCGTTTCTTCTGCATCCAATTTATAGCACTTGATAGATACCTCAGTTTTTACGTTTTTCCTTTTTTCTTTTGGAACATATTTTTTTTTTATTTTGTATTGCTGCTGTGACTAGGTTTTATGATAGGTTTTTTTAACACGTTTCTGTAGTTTTTCCTTTTTTTTATTGAGAGAATTGTTTTTAGGCTAAAAAAACAATTTTCCTTTTTGGTTTATGGCGGTCGACCATCGATTTTTGTCAAATTGAACTTGGATTCGACTAGAAGAAAAGAAAAATAACATCCTCATAGAGAAAAATCCCAAAGATCCAGAGGATTCTGCCAAACATGATCTCTTACATTATACATCAATTGTGGAGTAGTAGTAGTAGTTCATGGTATCATGTGAGTTTACTAGGCCATATATATGCTTTATGATCATTGTTTAGCTTATTTGATGTGTAGAAAGAATACTTGGATGTAATATGTCTTTTACTAGGAAAAATGATCATAAGAAAACTAATTAAAACTAAAACATGCAATGATAATATTATAAGAAAACAAAACCATGATAAGAAAGTAGAATGCTCTAATAAACCAATGGAAGGAGATTACTTATTAGATCATGCCGATCGTCTCAAGAATGTATAGGTGAAATACACACACACAGAGTCATTTTCTGTCTTTAATTTGATCTTTACAATGAAAAATGATAATGAAACGTCCAGAAGAAATAGTTATATATCGAGAGGATGGATACACCTTATATCTTACGTTTCTCCATTGCATTGCGTTTTACTTTCATAGTTACTTCTGCTTTAAGTTTGTTGTTGTATGGGTTATGTTTAAATACGCGGTTGTATATAGACTTGAGTTTGTGTAGTAGTTCATGTGAGTTTATAACTAGGCTATATATGAAAGCAAAGCTACATATATGATTTATTATCATTGATGTGTTGAAGGAATACTTGGATGTAATGTCTTTACTAGGAAAAAATGATCATGAAAAGCCAATTAAAAATGAAACATGCAATAATAATATTAAGAAAAAAAAACCATGAGAAGAAAGTAGAATGCTCTAGTAAACCAATGGAAGAAGATTACTCATTAGATAATGCTGATCCTCTCAAGGATGTATAGGTGAAACACACACACACACACAGTCAATTAGAAGCATTCATATCCAATGTTTTCAAATAAGGTGTAGTAGTAGTAGTTCATGTGAGTTTACAGGCTATGAAAGCAAAGCTATATATGATGTATTATCATTAATGTTTAGCTTATTTGATTTAGAAGGGATACTTGGAAGTTTCTTTTCAGTATTCAATGTGATAAAACGGGCCTTCTTCAACTATACCCAATACCTGAAAACCTTTCCAATCTCAAAGTTATTAAAGTCCCTCTCATGAGCGTTAAGTAGACAAGAATTTTGGTCCTAAGGCATGAGGCCTAGATCGATTAGGCTACCACCCTTCTTGGTATTCGTCTAATATGGATGAAAGTTGGAAGGAAGACCTATGGGAAAACTAGTGTGTAAGGTGTTTGGATCCATTGATGCTTTTCAATGATCTACAAGTGCTAAATGAGAGAAAGTGGGATGAGAAAGAGAGTTCATTGGTAAGTACTTAACAGCCCGAGGCTGAACGAGTGTCAGTAGAGTCAAGATAATTGAACATATGCTTTCTCTTTCAAAAGAAAAAAGGTATGTTCCTAAACTGCATGACCAATCAATTCTGTCACTACTTTTTCTCACACCTTGTTTTAGAAGTTGTAGGATCCAAAGACCAGACGAGATGATTAAAAATGAAACGAGATCCACTGGGGATCATTTACAATATAAATGAATGATTATAATATGATATAAGATCCATGAAAATGCTAAACCACCAGTTTCCATCGCAACTATAATGTAAATTCCAAAGTAAGCACCACTACTCTCATATTCTCTACGTACTCACACAAATACCAAATCAACATGAAGCCAGACACTTTTCTTGATGCAGAAACTTTCAAACTAAGAGTAGAGAAGTAACTATACATTTATATGTTTCAAACCAACCGAGATTTTCTTCCTCCAAAATTAGCTCCTTCCATCTTCCTTGTGCCTTCTCCTAGTGTGTCACAATGGTTGTGAACTCCGGATCTGTTGAGACATGTTCTCAGCTGGAAGCTTAGCAGAAGTAGACCCATCAGGTAACACCATGGCAGGTGGAGGCCCTGTCATTGTCTGGTACTGTGCTTGTCCTATAGGCAGTGTGTAGTACATCTGTTTATGAACATTGTCCGCGTATTCATATCCAGACTGAGGTGGGTGATGGATCTGCGAATACCCGATGAATTGCTGCTGGCTAGCAGGGATCGGATGAACCATCTGAGAACCGCCCATTGCTGAGGATGTTGCGTAAACCACAGACTCAGGTTTGCCACCAGGTCCAGGAGCAACACTTGTCAAATGGTTGTTAGGAGGTGGAGGCATCATGGTGGAATTAGGCTGCGCTTGAGGATGGTTAGATGGGAGAGACGACACTGGAGCCTCGTTCACACTACCAGATTGTGGCACATGCATACTGTAGGGAGTAGGTGTGACATAATAAACAGGAAAAAGGTGCTGATCGGGTTGACCAGGGTGCCTGTGGAAAGACTGCTGATGCTGTTGTGAAGGGTAGACGTGAATGTAAGTGTGAAGAGGGTGGCCAAGAGATGGATGGTGATGAATGTATTGAGGTGTAGCAGCGTGTATGAACTGTTGCTGAGATTGTTGGGGGTGAATGATGTAGCCTGGTTCTTGATTCTGATTCTGGGATAAGAGTGTGTTTTCATCTGAGGGGTTGATCATCCCGTTACCAGCAACTACATTGGAACCAGAAGGCGTCTGAGGGATTGGTTCTTGATAAAGCGAAGGTTTTTGGTGAAACACAGGATTGTTGATGCTGTTATCACTGAGGCATTTTAACAAACACATGGAGATCAAATCAGAATCTAACCAATCTAGAGACAGAATCTAACATGTTAAAGGGAGAGTACCTGGAAACGGAGTTGGGTGATGGTAGCTCGTGACCTTGCGGAGGAGGTAGATTCTGCGGCTGAGAATGTGGAGTCGGAGGCTTTTTGAATCCAGCGGAGACTCCATGATCAGACCTCTCATCGTCTGAGACGGTTGTTGCATTCACCGGAGCGGCGGGAATGGAGATTGTCACAGGCATCGGCGGTGGTGACGAGATCGCTGCAAATCCATCCTCCGTTAGCTGCTGCTGCTTACTCTCTACGTTGAATCTACCGAACTGTTCTTCGATCCCAACCTTCTGATCATGCATCCCTGCTTCCTCTGCACGAACACGAATCGGCGGAAGATTCGCGAGCGTCGGAGAAGAAGAAGTTGAAGACGTATCCAAAATCGGAGAATCCGCCACGTTCTGCACATCTTGCCCTCCTCCTTGTATCGGAGGCTGCTCGATTTGTTGCTGTTTGACGCTTTTAACGGAACCGTCATCTTGTTTACCGTTTTTAACGGAACCGTCATCTTGTTTACCGCTTTTAACGGAACCGTCATCGTCTTTGACACTTGGATCAAGATTGTTTCCGTTTTCATCGGAATCAGAGCGGAGAGCGTCTAAACCGAGTAAACGGTTAACGTTAGCATCAGAATCCGAGTAGCCTCTACTGATAACACCAGCGTTGTTAAGAGCGTCGAGAAACCAATCATCGCTCTTAGACTTACTCTCGAGTATCTTCCCCATCGACTGAGCACCTTCCAGCTTCTCCGTGAATAGAAACAAACGCAAACGCGAAGGTTTGATCGAATCACCCGCGGCGGTGATGATCGTACGGTCATACTCCTCGATCATGTTCTCGAGATCTTCCTCGGTGGTGACGGAGATGAGGGAATCTAGGTCTTCGCTTGGTAACTGATACTTGAGCGTGAAGGAGCGGTTATTGAGAAGCGTGCTGGAGAGACGAGCGACGAGAGAAGAGAGGGAGGAGTTACGGTCCACGACGACGATGCGAGTGTCGCCTCCCATGTAACAGAGGGATTTATCGTGAGGGCGAGGGAGGATGTGACCGCCGTAACTGCACATGAGACGGAGTTTAGAAGAGGCGGCGGCGGCGGAGGAGGGAGGAAGATCGTCCAAGGCGTCGGTGGTGCGAGACCTAGGGGAGGATTCTAGAGACTCGGGGTATGATGAGGTCACGTGAGTAGGAGGTGGAGGAGGGGCGACGGTGGAGGAGAGAGAAGGAGGCGGCGGTTCCATAGAAAAACAAATAAGAAAAAAAGAAAATGAAAAAGGGTAGAAATGAGTGGGGAGACTTCAGGAGTTGATAATCTAATATAGGTAGCTAGTCCATGACTTGTAAGTTGTAAACTACAGCTTATTTTTTTATGGAGTATTACTTAATGTGATTTATGGTAAATATATTACGGGTTTGCCAATTTATTTTGACTCCATATTGGTCAAATTCGTTTCTATTTCAGAATCATTACTTTCACTTTTAAAGCAACTCTAATAGGATTATCTAAAGTTCTTTTGAAATTAAAAGAATACAATGAAAATCTCAAGTGAAATCTATGCACTATTAAGAAGATTCTCTCCTCTCATCTCTCATGTGTCAACCTATAAACATTTTAAATATATTAGTTACTGAAATTTAATTAAATAAAATGATGTAAAAACAGATATACTTTGTTTGTGGGAAATTCAGTTAGAGTATCTAATTTGAAGATGCTCTTGTATCCTATAAACGATTGTACAAAGTAAACTGTAAATTAGATTAAAATTTAATATAAATATTATCTAAAGCAATGAAAAGTACACTAGCAACCCTCATATATTTATCTGATTTGTAAATAAATTATTTTGTTTTCGTTTTCTAATAAAACCAAAGTGTTTTTATTCAATCATGTATTTTAATAGAATTTAAAGCTAAGAACAATCTACCATATTAATATGATATTTATAATTTTTAAAATCTAGTGTTATCGAATATGATATTTATAATTTTTATTTAAAATCTAGTGTTGCTCAATTAATGATTTAAATCTTGTTTTTAAATTTAAGTGTTATTCAACTTGAAAGGATTTTAAAATTCTTTGTGTTCAAAACTGATTTCAAATCATTGGTTGTGGATTCTCATGAACAAATAATTAAAATCAAAATCCAAGACATACATAGATTTTAAAATCTACCAAAAAAATTATTTTACAGTTTTAATTTTAATTGATTACAAAACATTAAAATTGACTTTAAATCTTTGATTGGATAACACCCCCAAATAAATTTTTAAAAAAGATGAAACTTATGTAGGGAGTGTATTTAATATTATATTTGAAGTCATTTGATTTTTAATAAGCTTTGTGGTTGAAATTGAAAATTTGATGTGATTTTTGTTAAACAACTATAGAAAATTAAGAAACTAATAAAAATTCGGTATGAATATTATTATAACTAAGAAATTCCTCTCAAAAACTCTAGAAATACTTAAAAGTATTATAAAATCTCCAATTTAAATTGTGTTTAGTAACAGTGGATTTCATAGTATTATATGAAATGACAAATTCAATAACACTAGATTTTAAAGTGTGTTTTAATATCCATGTTTGAATAATAGTGGATTTGTCATATACATACTAGATCTTTTTCCGCGCCATGCGCGGATAGTTTACTTGGAAGTTTTTTCGAGTAATGAATAATATTCATGCATGATGTAAAATGTAAGGAACATATAAGCAGATAAAACAAATTAAGCTGAAGGTGTTGTATTTGTTAAACCATCCGATTAGCTTGAGTTGACGGTGTTATTTGGCTTTATCTTTAAAATTTTATGAAGCTCTGTTTGATAATATCGATATTCTTATCGAAGTAGAAACTTGTTCCTTGAGTAGATGAATACCAGTTTTTTTAATATTTTACCAAAATATTAAGAAAACACTGTTGAAGATTATAAGTTGATTTGTTTAATTTTTATTATTTTGAGATTTATGCATGTGGCTAAGACAACATCATTTTTACGAGATGATGAGATTTTGGAAAGAGCGTAGAAAATCTTTGAAAGCTAGTGACAACTATAAAAATTTACATATGAAAAAAGTTCAACCAATACATAAATTCAGTTTTATGTCATTATACAAAGGAGACTATTTCACGGAGATAATAGCAGTAATTGAATTGTACAAAAGTGGAGGCCTTGAAGGGGGGTTAGGAAACAATTAGTCGCTTATAAATTTGAATGCATATTTAAGCATTATCATATAGTAAAAGGGAGGACGTACTTGGCCTTAATTAAATTGGGATCTTTGTTCTTGAATGCATGGTTGAAAATCTGATATTTCGTAGACGCCTAAATCTGGGTGGAGTTTGAACATTGTAAAATTAATAGTTAAATCAGCAACATATTTAAACTACTTTTAGATAGATTTGTTTTATTAACTTCAGATAATTGTAGATCGTAAAAGATTCTTTTATACACTATGTTAATTATTTTTGGAATAGGTGAATATGTTCCTTATATAATTTTCAACCATGCTTTGTTAGTAACACGTGAAAATTCCACATACAATTATTCATGAGTGAAGACTAGTTTTGGCAAGTATAGAAAAAAGCTTAGATCTTGACTCTTATTTATTGTCATAGCGTAATATTGTTTGATAGAACAATGTTGCCTCCTACAAAAGAGAATTCTTTTACCAATGCAAAAACCGTTGACTTAAGTAAATCACAATGAGATGAGTACATCAATCTAATTATAACCAATTCTTTGTCAACATCAACCATTTGTAGCAATTGTAAGACATTCTTTTAATTTGTTGTCTGATCTAAGCATGAGACCCCATTTTTCTATCTGAGTCTTGGCGATGATTTTGAAAAGCAAAATAGGTTATTTTTATTTTCTATTTCTTCAAAATAAATGTTTCAAGTCCTCCATCAAAACTTCTAATAACTATTTTAAAATAATGTATGTCATATAGTCGTACATATAACATGTTTAAATATTACACTACAAATATGCATTTCCATAGGTATGATTTATCTATGAAAATCTAAATTTGGAAAAAGAAAATTGTTAAAAAATATAATGAATTATAAAACACATGAAGAATGAGTAACATAGGTAATTTTATGTGACATTTAAGAGTTTAATAGTTATCAACTACTAGTGTGCGAATAAATACAAAAAATAGCAATTGATCTTTGTGGATGCATAGAAAGGGAAGTATGAATTGCTTTTTATCCAATGGTGTTTTCTTGTACACCATTTAAAATATTAAATGTAAAATTCTTCAAAAGCAAATAATAAAAATGCTATAATTAATAATATTAAATATGAATTAATTTACAGGAAATTGTAATCTGACCAAACCTTTAAACTTAATGTTCAAAAAAAAGAAAACTTTAAACTATAAAGGAATAGTTATTCAAGATTGTTACTTAGAGTTAGTGGTATGCCTTGTATTTAAGTTTGACTTAATTGTTATTCATGATTTTTGCATTGCAGATTGCTAATGTTGTTGGTCATACGGCCAAAACATCTAACAGTGTCCAGTGGTGGAAATTTAGTAAAACTCAATCTGATCAAAATTAACATGACTATGACCACTATTGGATTTATTCAAGCAAAAAAAACTATTTTTTCCTATAAAAAAACTCAATCTGATCAAAATTTTATCTTTTTGAATCAAAGTTAAATTTATTCAAGCAAAAAAACTATTTTTACATCAAATGCATCTTTTTCTGTTTGTTTAAAGGGCTTTAAAAGAAGAATAAATATTAAAAAGGCTTAGTTGTAGAATAATCATAAAAAGAAGGAAAATTGTATTTTTAGAGATGTTAGTGGTTTACCATTTATAGGTAAATCCATGTAATTTTATTTTGATTTTTTTTTGTATTGTTTTATGTTGTAAATTAAAATTTGGAATTGCTAATTGTTCCACAATTTTTAGTTTTTTCTATGTTCATTCTTCAAATTTTAATGGGTATCCATTTGGATTTAGTTTGGGTTTATTCACGTTTCTAATTTTCAAGATTAATGATTTTTGTCCCATTCGGATATTTATAAATTTTGCTTCAGGTTTGGTTCGGATCGTTCTGAGTTAGGATAACCCATTTAAATTATTTTTAAAAATGATAATTTCTAATATGCTTTAAATTTCTCAAAATATAATAGTAAATATAATAAATAGCATATAAATCTGAATAATATATGCCAAAATACCTAAACTTAAGATTACAAAATTGGTTTGATTTAAATATTTGTGTTGGGGTCAAAATCGGTATGACGGAATTAATAACCAAAACTCCCCGCAAAAATACAGAAGGAACAATTTTATAAAACCCGAGGAGTAGTTTTATAAAACTCAAAGTCGTTTTATAAAGCTCGATGATCGTTTTATAAAACTCGAAAGGCCGTTTTATAAAACCCGAAGATCGTTTTATAAAACCCGAAGATCGTTTTATAAAACTCGAGAATCGTTTTATAAAACTCGAAAGGCCGTTTTATGAAACTCGAAGATCGTTTTATAAAACTCGAGAATCGTTTTATAAAACTCGAAAGGCCGTTTTATGAAACTCGAAGATCGTTTTATAAAACTCGAGAAATCGTTTTATAAAACTTAAGGATCGTTTTATAAAACTCGATAATCGTTTTATAAAACTCGAAAGGCCGTTTTATAAAAACCGAAGATCGTTTTATAAAACTCAAGAATCGTTTTATAAAACTCGAAAGGCCGTTTTATGAAACTCGAAGATCGTTTTATAAAACTCGAGAATCGTTTTATAAAACTCGAAAGGCCGTTTTATGAAACTCGAAGATCGTTTTATAAAACTCGAGAAATCGTTTTATAAAACTTAAGGATCGTTTTATAAAACTCGAGAATCGTTTTATAGAACTCGAAAGGCCGTTTTATAAAACCCGAAGATCGTTTTATAAAACTTCAGGATAGTTTTAAAACTCGAGAATCGTTTTATAAAACTCGAAGATCGTTTTATAAAACTCGAAGATCGTTTTATAAAATTCGAAGATCGTTTTATAAAACTCGAATATCATTTTATAAAACTCGAAGATCGTTTTATAAAACTCGAATGTCGTTTTATGAAATCCGAACATCGTTTTATAAAACTCGAGAAACGTTTTACGAAACCGCAAAAAACCGAAATAGCCGTAAAACGCGAACTAAGCCGGCCCGGCTTAGTTCGCCGATGGGCGAACTAGAGATTTCCCGGATATTCTGCGTCTCGATCTCCCGCATTCCCGATTCAAAATTTACGTCTTTCGACAAGGTCACGTTCTA